AGTGTATATGTACGCACGTAAATATACTAGGGAAAGTTTATATGTGCGCACGTTAATATACTAGCGAAATGTATATGTACGAACGTAAATATACTAGGGAAAGTGTATATGAATGCACGTAAATATACTAGGAAAGGTGTATATGTACGAATGTAAATATACTAGGGAAAGTGTATATGTACGCACGTAAATATACTAGGGAAAGTGTTTATGTACGCACGTAAATATACCAGGGAAAGTGTACATGGACGTTGAAGTTTATACAACGCTGTGATCCAACGCGCGTCTTGTAACTGGATATTGGCAGAATGACTGGATTATGGGAACAAAAATGTCCACCCAGTCTTGTTTGCATATGTTGCATAGGTTGCAAAGGTTGCATAGTTTGCACAGGTTGCATATCTCTGTGATCATTATAAGTACATGATTTAAAACAAATAAACATTAAATGGATATAATTTTGTTCTAATTAACTTTGTATTTAGTTTCTTTAATTTTATCGAGTGCACAAAACTATTGTCTCAGGTGGGGCGGAAGTCCCCGAGTGCCCCGTCGTGTGTTCCACCCTCTGGAGTCCTCTCTGTGCCAGTGATGGGAACACTTACTCCAACGACTGCTTCCTACAGGGAGTCAACTGTATGAGACCCGCTAACGGTCAGATTCAGAAGGTGTCTTCCGGACGCTGTGGGGAGCCCGAAGACACGTTGACTCCAACGGAACAGCCATAGGTGATCACTGCCAAGACAAAATTTATAATTGTTATTTCAGTCACAAACACTTTTCTTTTAAATTAAAAATCTAACTGAAGTTATCTGTTGAGACTGTTTCCATAGAAAATGCTTAAAATCTGAGTCTGAACATCTTTTTTCAGTTCATTCCATTTTCTAGCCACTTCTAGCCCTTGCTTAGACCCAACAAGTCTAGCCGTTGTAGAGACCCAACAAGTCTAAGCGTTTTAGAGACCCAACAAGTCTAAGCGTTTTAGAGACCCAACAATTCTAGCCCTTGTAGAGACCCAACAATTCTAACCCTTGTAGAGACCCAACAATTCTAACCCTTGTAGAGACCCAACACTTCTAGCCCTTGTAGAGACCCAACAAGTCTAGCCCTTGTAGAGACCCAACAATTCTAGCCCTTGTAGAGACCCAACAATTCTAACCCTTGTAGAAACCCAACAGTTCTAGCCCTTGTAGAGACCCAACAATTCTAGCACTTGTAGAGACCCAACAATTCTAACCCTTGTAGAGACCCAACAATTCTAGCCCTTGTAGAGACCCAACAATTCTAGCCCTTGTAGAGACCCAACAGTTCTGACCCTTGCTTAGATCCAATAATTCTAGCACTTGTAAATACCCAATAATTCTTGCATCCAGTCGATGCAATTAATATATCTACTATTAATTCTCTATAATGTGATTGTTTTTTTAAATAAACCAAAGATTGTGTAACGTGTAGAAACACAAAATTCAGAATAAAATAACCAAAATTGCATTGGTTTATATTTTGCCGTAATTTATTTGGGATCATCTTGTCATGATTAACAACCTATTTAAACTCTTGTCATGATTAACAACCTATTTAAACTCTTGTCATGATTAACAACCTATTTAAACTCTTGTCATGATTAACAACCTATTTAAACTCTTGTCATGATTAACAACCTATTTAAACTCTTGTCATGATTAACAACCTATTTAAACTCTTGTCATGATTAACAACCTATTTAAACTCTTGTCATGATTAAAAACCTATTTAAACTCTTGTCATGATTAACAACCTATTTAAACTCTTGTCATGATTAACAACCTATTTAGTTTAGAGGTTTATGTATTTGTCTGTTTATTGTATTTGAAAAAGTCAATAAAGTTATACACACAAAAATGTGTTGTTTAAATGATACTATGTCTACATATCTTTTTTTGCGATATATATTCTCTACTTCAATTGTAATCACAAGGTATTTTTTTATAGAATGTATTAGTCCATGCTGTACTACATTCTACACTTGATACGCTGCAGTCTACATTTCTGTGCTACAGTCTACATTTCTGTGCTACAGTCTACATTTCTGTGCAACAGTCTACATTTCTGTGCTACAGTCTACATTTCTGTGTACAGTCTACATTTCTGTGCTACAGTATACATTTATGTGCTACAGTCTACATTTCTGTTTTCTGTGCTACAATCAAACGTTAGTGTGCGTTAAGGGGATACTATTGTCAGTGTTTAACATAATACCACCTAGAAACATAATGCCACCTAAAAACATGTCACCTAGAAACATAATGCCACCTAGAAACATAATGAAACCGATAAACATAATGCCACCGAGAAATATAATGCCACCGAGAAACATAGTGCCACCTAGGAACATAATACCACCTAGAACCACCGAGAAACATAATGCCACATAGAAACATAATACCACCTAGAAACATAATACACCTATAATGAAACCAAGAAACATAATACCACCTAGAAACATAATGCCACCTAGAAACATAATGCAACCAAGAAACATAATGCCACCGAGAAACATAATCCCACCTAGAAAAATAATACCACCAAGAAACATAATACCACCAAGAAACATAATGCCACCGAGAAACATAATGCCACAGAGAAACATAATGCCACCTAGAAACATAATACCACCTAGAAACATAATGCCACCTAGAAACATAATGCCACCTAGAAACATAATGCAACCAAGAAACATAATGCCACCGAGAAACATAATGCCACCTAGAAACATAATACCACCGAGAAACATAATGCCACCGAGAAACATAATGCCACAGAGAAACATAATGTCACCTAGAAACATAATACCACCTAAAAACATAATACTACCAAGAAACATAATACCACCTAGAAACATAATGCCACCTAGAAACATAATACCACCAAGAAACATAATGCCACCTAGAAAGATAATACCACCTAGAAACATAGTACCACCTAGAAACATAATGCCACCTAGAAACGTAATGCCAATTAGAAACATAATGCCACCTAGAAACATAATGCCACCCAGAAACATAATACCACCGAGAAACATAATACCACCGAGAAACATAATACCACCTAGAAAAATAATACCATCTAAAAACATAATGCCACCTAGAAACATAATACCACCTAGAAACATAATGCCACCTAGAAACATAATACCACCTAGAAACATAATGCCACCTAGAAAGATAATACCACCTAGAAACATAGTACCACCTAGAAACGTAATGTCACCTAGAAACATAATGCCACCGAGAAACATAATGTCACCTAGAAACATAATACCACCTAGAAACATAATGCCACCTAGAAACATAATACCACCTAGAAACATAATACCACCTAAAAACATAATGCCACCTAGAAACATAATACCACCTAAAAACATAATGCCACCTAGAAACATAATACCACCTAGAAACATAATGCCACCTAGAAAGATAATACCACCTAGAAACATAGTACCGCCTAGAAACATAATGCCACCGAGAAACATAATACCACCTAGAAACATAATGACACCTAGAAACATAATACCACCAAGAAACATAATGCCGCCTAGAAACATAATACCACCTAGAAACATAATGCCACCTAGAAACATAATGCCACCTAGAAACATAATACCACCTAGAAAAATAATACCACAGAGAAACATAATGCCACCTAGAAACATAATGCCACCTAGAAACATAATACCACCTAGAAACATAATACCACCGAGAAACATAATGCCACCTAGAAACATAATACCACCTAGAAACATAATGCCACCTAGAAACATAATGCAACCAAGAAACATAATGCCACCGAGAAACACAATGCCACCTAGAAACATAATACCACCGAGAAACATAATACTACCTAGAAACATAATGCCCCCGTGAAACATAATGCCACAGAGAAACATAATGTCACCTAGAAACATAATGCCACCTAGAAACATAATACCACCTAGAAACATAATGCCACCTAGAAATATAATACCACCTAGAAATATAATGCCACCTAGAAAGATAATACCACCTAGAATCATAGTACCACCTAGAAACATAATACCACCGAGAAACATAATACCACCTAGAAACATAATGACACCTAGAAACATAATACCACCAAGAAACATAATGCCGCCTAGAAACATAATACCACCTAGAAACATAATGCCACCTAGAAACATAATGCCACCTAGAAACATAATACCACCTAGAAACATAATACCACCGAGAAACATAATGCTACCTGGAAATATAATGCCACCTAGAAACATAATACCACCTAGAAACATAATGCCACCGAGAAACATAATGCCACCTAGAAACATAATACCACCTGGAAACATAATGCCACCGAGAAACATAATACCACCTAGGAACTTAATGCCACACAGCAAAAGAATGCCGCAAATCAACTTTCTTAAAACAAATGCCACCCACCGACCCACCGACCCACCGATGCACTAAATCAGCTATTGACATATTATTATTTTTTTTAAACGAATAAATTTTACATGAATGCAAAATTGATTAGCTAACAGGCTTAGAAAGAAGGAAAAGGCGTAACCTAGTGGCTTAGGAAAAAGGGGTGGGGGTGACCTCCTACTCCCCCCCCCTCCCCCAATCGACGTGGCCCTATTGTCATTATGTAGTGTGGGACTTTTCAGCCTTCTGCGGAGTTGGGTTTTTTTTTTGTGGAAGTGTGTGCCCAAAGTATAGGCCCTACCCAGGTGGTTCAATGACCCCCTCCCCTCAACCTCTCACCTTTTTTCCCCCACCAACCCTTGCTCACTTATTAATCTTGCATCTATTAACCTTTAAACTAAGTTTTAATCATGATGTCCGCAGTCGTATCGGACGACATGGTGGAAGTAGGTCAAAGCACATTGTGTGTAGAGGTATGCTGTTGATCATAACACATTGTGTATTGGTGTGTACTCTCCCATCCAAAACTGATTGTCCCAAATACTCTTAAAGGAACTGCAATGGCGTAACTGTCTTCGACTAAGACTCTAAAAGGGATTCACCCTTTAGAATTAACGAATCCTAGGTATTGATTAACATAAATTAAGTCATAGATCGTAAGTAGTAAGTCGTAAATTTTAAATAGAAAATAGTAAGTAGTAAATAGTAAACATAAGTAGGCAGTAAGTTCTAAATATAATAAGAAAGTAGTAAATAAGGAGTTGTATGTAGTAAGAAGACCTCTTGATCGTGAGGTAACAATATTTCTAATATAATTTAAAAGGCGAAGTTAATAAGTTATCACACTTTGGGGTGATTCTATAAGGTTTGGTTACACAACGTAAAGATGGAACACAACTTAAAGTAGGGTTACAAAGTATAGATGGGATATAATGTCCTACATCTGTTCACTGCTGTGGATCAGCCATAGTGTGCTAGACTAGGTTTCTATTGTAATATGCTATGGTGTGTATTTCATAGTTGAATGCAAGTTAAGTTATTACATAGACGATGTATTAAACTATATGAATTACGACTGGTGTATTACAGCGTATGTATACTAGTTGTATTACAGTGTATATGTATACTAGTTGTATTACAGTGTATATGTATACTAGTTGTATTACAGTGTATATGTATACTAGTTGTATTACAGTGTATTATGTATTATGGCGGGCGAAATTAAGTTCAAAATCAATTTTTTTTTTAAGTGCGTAACCAAATACTGGGTAAATTGTCAAGGGCCAAACGCCCGTGAAGAGTAAACCTACTGTAAAAAGTCTACCTACTGTAAAGAGTCAACCTACTGTAAAGAGTCTACCTAATGTAAAGCCTGCTGTAAATTTGTAATGATTCTGCCTACTGTAAAGTGTCTACCTACTGTAAAGAGTCTACCTACTGTAAAGAGTCTACCTACTGTGAAGAGTCTACCTAGTGTAAAGAGTCTATATACTGTGAAGAGTCTACCTACTGTAAAGCCTGCTGTAAATTTGTAATGATCTACCTATTGTAAAGAGTCTATTTACTTTAAAGAGTCTACCTATAGTAAAGCCTGATGTAAAATTCTACCTACTGTAAAGAGTGTACCTACTGCGAAGAGTCTACCTAGTGTAAAGAGCCCAACTGCTGTAAAGAGTCTCCTACTGTAAAGAGTCTACCTACTTTGAAGAGTCTACCTACTTTGAAGAGTTTACCTAATTTGAAGAGTCTACCTACTGTAAAGAGTCTACCTGCTGTAAAGAGTCTACCTGGTGTAAAGAGTCTACCTACTGTAAAGAGTCTACCTACTGTAAAGAGTCTACCTGCTGTAAAGAGTCTACCTGCTGTAAAGAGTCTACCTACTGTAAAGAGTCTACCTGCTGTAAATAGTCTACCTACTGTAAAGAGTCTACCTACTGTGAAGAGTCTAACTACTGTAAAGAGTCTACCTATTGTGAAGAGTCTACCTACTGTAAAGAGTCTACCTACTGTAAAGAGTCTACCTACTGTGAAGAGTCTACCTACTGTGAAGAGTCTACCTACTGTAAAGAGTCTACCTATTGTGAAGAGTCTACCTACTGTAAAGAGTCTACCTACTGTAAAGAGTCTACCTACTGTGAAGAGTCTACCTACTGTGAAGAGTCTACCTACTGTAAAGAGTCTACCCACTGTAGAGAGTCATTGTATCACCATCACGCATGTGTAAAGGTTCATCGGTCTTGTTCACAACAGCTCAGCTAAAGGTTTGGGTTGTAATGAAAAGTCGTTGTATATTATTGTTTTTCGACACGTGCTAGTGAATTTGAAGTTATTTTTTTATATCATTGGAACGTTCATTTGTTTGACTTGACTGAATGTGTAGAGTGAGGCTTGACTGAATGTGTAGAGTAAGGCTTGACTGAATGTGTAGAGTGAGACTTGACTGAATGTGTAGAGTGAGACTTGACTGAATGTGTAGAGTGATACTTGACTGAATGTGTAGAGTGAGACTTGACTGAATGTGTAGAGTGAGACTTGACTGAATGTGTAGAGTGAGACTTGACTGAATGTGTAGAGTGAGGCTTGACTGAATGTGTAGAGTGAGGCTTGACTGAATGTGTAGAGTGAGGCTTGACGGAATGTGTAGAGTGAGACTTGACTGAATGTGTAGAGTGAGACTTGACTGTATGTGTAGAGTGAGACTTGACTGAATGTGTAGAGTGAGGCTTGACTGAATGTGTAGAGTGAGGCTTGACTAAATGTGTAGAGTGAGGTTTGACTGAATGTGTAGAGTGAGGCTTGACTGAATGTGTAGAGTGAGGCTTGACTGAATGTGTAGAGTGAGACTTGACTGAATGTGTAGAGTGAGACTTGACTGAATGTGTAGAGTGAGACTTGACTGAATGTGTAGAGTGAGACTTGACTGAATGTGTAGAGTGTGACTTGACTGAATGTGTAGAGTGAGACTTGACTGAATGTGTAGAGTGAGACTTGACTGAATGTGTAGAGTGAGACTTGACTGAATGTGTAGAGTGAGACTTGACTGAATGTGTAGAGTGAGACTTGACTGAATGTGTAGAGTGAGACTTGACTGAATGTGTATTTATGTAGGAGAATTGTTCAGGGCCGGAATGTATAAAATCCGTGAGAATCCCTAACTACCGCTAACTCAGACATTTTCCATGAAAACACCGGGGTTACGTTGTCAGTGTGTGACAGAAATGGGGAATTCATTTTTTGGGCCTGTCACGTCACACGACATATGCTGTAGAGAGTGATGACGTAAATGTATGGCTCATTAGATTTAATGGATATGGGTGTAGGTTGGGGTGACCAAATCATGAACTGGAAAAAAACGGGACACGCCCTAGGAGGGTTTTGGGAATACCCTCCCGCTAAAGAGGGGTCCGGGGGCCCCCACCGGAAACTGTTTATTGAAACATGCGCATTGGAAACTATTTTGAGACCTAGAAATCTTTTTTAATTTACCTTCACTTTTTTAATTTACCTTCACTTTTGTCATTTACCTTCACTTTTTTAATTTACCTTCACTTTTGTCATTGAGTTTAAAATCTGAAGTATATCATAAACGAAAACAAGAAGTTGGCAGTGAATACTTGTTGTATTGATTCATCGAAGATCTCTGGCAGAGGCACTGTGGTTTAAGCAGAGTGGTGGTGGTGGGGGGGGGGCAGTGCAGGCATCACGCGAGCCCACATCACTACTGGCACTGGCTACACAGCAAGCCAAATTATGACTTGAAGCAATATGATACATTAGGAAGTTTTAGTAAGTTGAAAATGTAATTAGTTTTAGAAACGGGACATTTAGTTAGGCGTCCCGAGAGATTTTTTCGAGACAGCGGGTACGATCGTGAAAAAACGGGACAATCCCGTTTTTAAGGGACGTTATGTTTCCCCACCCTAGTGTAGATGAAATTGTTTGCAAACAATACTGAATAACTTGTAAACATGTCATTGTTTTTTTTTTTGTTTTTTTTCTGTAACATTCGCCACGTTACTTCTGCTACCGAGGTCAGGGCCTGGATTATTGGCCTGGTGGGAGATAGCGCTTCCGNCTGGATTATTGTCCTGGTGGGAGATAGCGGTGGCGTGTTACCCCCCCCCCACCCCCCTCCAACTTTACAGGGGGATAACTCTCGTGAAATACATACATTTTATTTAAAAATAAGTAAGCAATTTCATATGCTTATTTATTTAGAGGGAAAGAGGCTTATAATTATGTCCATTTGTTCAGGGACAGCGGGTGCAAAATTAAGTTCTTTTGTTCAAGGGAAATGGACGCAAAATTATGTTCTCTTGGTTCAGGGGCAATGGGCGCAAAATTAATTTCTTTTGTTGATGGGTAATGGGCGCAAAATTACATTCTTTTATTCAGGGGCAATGGGCTCAAAATTACGTTCTTTTTCCTAAGGCATAGACAATTGTAAATCCGGCCATTTTAACCAATAGAGTAACAATTTGTTACAACTTGTATTAGTTTGACTTACCTGAATGGGTAGAGTGAGACTTGTCTGAATGTGTAGAGTGAGACTTGACTGAATGTATAGAGTGAGACTTGACTGAATGTGTAGAGTGAAGGCTACTTATTTATATTACTATACAGACTAAACCGTTTATAACAGGCATAAATGAACTGTATAAATATGTCCACGTCACATGACATTCGCATGGAGCCCCAATCAGACGTTCTGGACTTGGCTCAAGAAACTAGAAAACTTCAAGGTAAGTAAGAACATTTACAGTACCGGGTTATGTAAGAACAGTGGCAGTACTAAGGCCATGAAGCGACAGTGCTAGGGCATGAAGCGACAGTACTAGGGCATGTAGCTACAGTACTAGGGTATGCAGCTACAGTACTAGGCTATGTAAAACTGCTACAGTATCAAGGTATGTGAGAACATTCACAGTACTGAGATATGTAAGAACCGTTACAGTAACGGGGTATGCAAGAACATGTACAGTGCTAGGGCAGCATATAGTAGCAGTACTTGGTTAATTGAGAAGAGTCTAACTCCTGTGAAGAGTCCAACATCTGTATTTAATTTTAACTGATAAATCCTGGATACAGATGTAACTGTCATGATTACGATAGCTCTGCATGATAGCTTTTTTTTTTTTTTTTTTTAATAAATTTTTTAATCGCTTTTTCCTACAATAATGGTTCAAAACACTTCAATAAACATTAAGGTACTCCAGATCTCTTTATCAATTTAAAATATATTATGGCAAAGATTTAATTGAATGTCTTATCTTGAACTGAATGACCAGGGTGCCATGAATGTGAAGTGAACTTTGGCACAGAAGCAGACATTCACCAACACAAAACACGCTGCACTAAGAACCCTGGCCACCAGCAGTTCATCCCAGTCAATGACTTCACCATCTCACACCTGCCCGCCAGGTACCAGGATGCTCAACTCGTGGACGTCATTCAGCTGATATCCCGGCTGACGGCCCTCTTGACTGTGTCACACATCAGCAATGACAGACCAGAGTTCTTCCCCTTCACGGATATACCCTATCCGTTTTTCAAATCTCGCGGCAGCCATAACTTTTCTCGCACCGGGTCGGGAAGGTGCGTGGATTTTTATAAACGCACGGTCGTCAACAATGAGCCGTGCAAGTGTAAGGTGTGTAGGACGTCCGGCACACCGGTGATGACGTGGGATGCGATCGTCATTCACACGGCCACACACGTCGTGTTTGATGAGAAGGAGGCCGAACATGCTTCATGTCGACTGTTCTACGACACAGACTCGGACCAAGGTTTGACTCTTGATGTTGTCGGTGTTGTGGGGAAGAGAGCGGACGTGTCTGGGGACAGGTGCTTGCTAACCTGTGCCAGTCACGACCTAACGCTAGTGGACTCGCTTTGGAGGACAGCGAGGTCCTACCGTGACCTTTTCAGGCAGCTGACCGATAAGTTCAAGGACGTCAAGGACGATAAGAGGCTGACCGTTATCGTATCCCACCCGCACGGCTGTTCAAAGCAAGTGACCGTCGGAGAATGGACTCAGATGACACCGGGGTCAACAGATTTCAGAACTGTACAGTTCACGTACACGACGGACACATGCCCTGGCAGCAGCGGGGCACCTGTGTTTATATTAGGTCAGGGCAACGAATGGTGGAGTCACACACACAGTGGAGCGAGCTCTGGTGGCAACATAAGCTCCACTATATATATTCAATAAAGGAGATTGCATGAGCCAAGGACACCGTTAAAGCTTAGAACAGATTCAATGAGGTTGTTTCTCAATATGTCATTATAATTTGTATTGTGTTATCACATGTAGTGTTATTTTATGATATGTTGTTGTTACCACCTCAAAGTGAAAGGGACTTGATTGTAAACAAATAAATATTAATTTAACCTATGGCTCTTAGTCAATGTGAACACTATACCACCAGTCAGCAGGAGCCAGTGATCATGAGAATTTGAGACCCCTGTCTGATATATTGTATTGCCGTTCCCCGCACCAGAGAGACCACTGCGCAAAAGAGAGACCACTGCGCCAAGGAGAGACAACTGCGCCAAAGAGAGACCACTGCGCCAAGGAGAGACAACTGCGCCAAAGAGAGACCACTGCGCCAAAGAGAGACCACTGCGCCAAGGAGAGACAACTGCGCCAAAGAGAGACCACTGCGCCAAGGAGAGACAACTGCACCAAAGAGAGACCACTGCGCCAAAGAGAGACCACTGCGCCAAAGAGAGACCACTGCGCCAAAGAAAGACCACTGCGCCAAGGAGAGACAACTGCGCCAAAGAGAGACCACTGCGCCAAAGAGAGACCACTGCGCCAAAGAGAGACCACTGCGCCAAAGAGAGACCACTGCGCCAAAGAGAGACCACTGCGCCAAAGAGAGACCACTGCGCCAAAGAGAGACCACTGCGCCGAAGAGAGACCACAGCGCCGAAGAGAGACTACTGCGCCGAAGAGAGACCACTGCGCCAAAGACAGATCACGTGATTGAACATACAATTTGTTGAAAGAAAGTGCCCCACTTAGCCCTCTTATGAGGCCGTACATGTGACAGGATGGCCAATAGTTTCTTTTAATTTTTTTTTTTAAAGAATTAACATCAAGCTGATCATTCTCTATGTATATTAATAGTACAATAAATAAACACTCTGTTGTATTATAATATTAATAGTACTACGCTAAACGCACAGTTATATATTAATGCTCTTCTGAACGCTCTGTTCTATTTATTACTCGTCGTTAAACGGTTATAAGTTACAAGGTTAAGAGAGAAAAATAATCTTATGAAAAATTCTAACATCTAGTTATGTGAGAAAGCATGGCTTCTGGCCGATTGATGGTAATTAAATTTTCAAAAATCTTTCTACAAACTGAATCTATTTATTTAAATGGTTCAGTTAATATTATTTTATCATTATAAGTGTACACACTCTTTTTCTTCTTTCTTATTTTGTTTTTCGCCATCAATGGCTATTTCTTCTTATTCTTCTTCATTATTGTCCTCACCAGCATGGCTTTTTCTTCTTATTTTTCTTCATTATTGCCCTCACCAGCATGGCTTTTTCTTCTTATTCTTCTTCATTATTGCCCTCACCAGCGTGGCTATTTCTTCTTATTCTTCTTCATTATGTCCTCACCAGCATGGCTTTTTCTTCTTTTAACTAATAATTATCTTCAGTGCCATTATATCTAAATCTTATTATTGTTCTTGTGTTCATCATGGCTATTTCTTCTTATCATTTCTGTTACGTTCATCACCAGCATGGCTATTTCTTCTTATCATTTCTGTTACGTTCATCACCAGCATGGCTATTTCTTCTTATCATTTCCGTTTCGTTCATCACCAGCATGGCTATTTCTTCTTATCATTTCCGTTACGTTCATCACCAGCATGGCTATTTCTTCTTATCATTTCCGTTACGTTCATCACCAGCATGGCTATTTCTTCTTATCATTTCTGTTACGTTCATCACCAGCATGGCTATTTCTTCTTATCATTTCTGTTACGTTCATCACCATCATGCTATTTCTTCTTATCATTTCCGTTACGTTCATCACCATCATGCTATTTCTTCTTATCATTTCCGTTACGTTCATCACCATCATGCTATTTCTTCTTATCATTTCCGTTACGTTCATCACCATCATGGCCATTTGAGATGATTCTCTGTTCTTGAAAATGCTGTATTTCATTACAAATAGATTAAAGACATGTTTTAATATTTTGTGTAATAA